TCGCGCTCGTGGAATTTATAACTTGTGCTCCAACGCGCAAAAACCGGGATTGCCTGAGAAGGATAGGAAAAGGGAAGGAGGAAGTGCCTACGGCTGCATGGCTGGGCCGCGGCATGGGGGACGTAGCCTCACTCCACGCTTCGATCCAGTCATGCACCGACCTGGCCAATGAGATAGGGACGGGAGAGCGCACGCATCGATGCGCGCGGCGAGAACAGAGCGCAGGCCCAGGCGCAGCAAAGCGTGCGCGAGCAAGAAGCGAAGTGCAGTTACAGACAAAAATTACGAGATACCCAATTTCCTAGTCTAATTAGTAATTAAGGTCCTAATTGCAAAAAGAAATTCCGAGAACTCGTGTGGGCACATTACCAATTCAAAATTCTGAAGGAATTTCCCGCGCGATTGCCGCGCCAAAAAGACAGACCTTTGTTGAAAAAGAAAGAAAAGAAAAAGAGGAAAAAGGAACCATAGCAGACGTTATTCCCCTGCGCTCACTAGGGCGCGGGCCAACTACCCCGAGGTTCACAACCCCCGCCTTCCTTCTGTCGAGGGACCGAGAAGAGAATGTCGGAAAACCAAGAAGGAGGGATTGCCATGCAATTTGTCCCCAGTCCCTTTTATGTAGCCCCTCCTTACCCCAATCCCGGTCGCGCAAAAGATGGCGCTTTAACAGAAAAGAGCTCATCACAACCCTATCCAACCTACCTGCACCCACTGAAACGTGTCCTACACCCCGCTCGGTGACCAGACCCCGCCAGACTGGGTAGTATAGTGGTGCGCAGATGCGCCCATAGGTTGTGTATAGTAATGTGTGTAGATACCCGTAGGCACATGCTATGTGGAGAGATGTGTGTGCCCAGAGGCTAGATATGTGCAGTACTACGTAGAGGAAACTATGTGTCTGTACGTGTAAACTGTGTATTGGGTCCAGTGGACCATGTGTATGGTATGTGAAGGGATGACGGGCCAAGTTGGACAAGAACACCCCCAAAGTCCCGAGCCAGACTCGAACCCATAATCTATAGCATGTAACCGGAAGACACTACCGTATGTGTACCAGTCACAAGTGGTACATATGTAATATATGCCGGACTGGGGAGATCAACAGAACAACCACGACCAACAGTGGCAAACAACCCACGCAGCGTCAAGACCCAACATACAACACCATGGACGATCCCTTGGGTGGTGCACAGGCAGTGTCTGTAATAACTTACCTGCGTCGGCCCAAGAGGGTATGCAAGTGACCATGTGTTTACGCCTGTCAGTGTCTTCTGCGCAGAGGTGTGGACCACACACCACACCACATGTGCATTGGCAACGGGTGCCCTGACCACTGAGCCACAGGCTACTTGCAACATATTCTTCTCTCAATTTCACCTTTCACTTTCTACCTACCACTACTTGTAAGCCTATACAGGGGACCCCTGCAAACATAGCTTGGGAGAGGTAGCTATGGTTGCAGGGGTGCCCCGGCCTCAATTTTCAAAGTTGAATGAATCAATTGAGTTGTATCTATGGGACGCTGGACCCGGTTTCCAGCAGGTGCTGCCCCCCGCCAATAGCTGGGGCTTGTTTTTGTGTAAAAAAAAAAAAAAAAAAAAAAAAGGGAAAATTTGCCTGGCGCCCCTGTAATTTCCATTATTTTGCATGGCGCCCCTCCGACATGCCACTTACCCTGTTGTGCCCTTCTGACCACGATTCAAATTTCCCATAAAACCCCGGCGTCGGCTGGGCCTGAAATATTTTTGTTATGCCCCTACCGGTACCCATTCCAAATTTTCCGTATGCCCCTACCGGAGCGCCAATGAGTACCAGGGCCAAAATTTTCCATATGCCCCTATCAGTAGGGTGCAGGATTTCAGCGATATGTCTCTGTGTGTGTGTGTGTGTGTGTGTGTGTGTGTGTGTGTGTGTGTGTGTGTGTGTGTGTGTCTGTCTCTGTCTCTGTCTCTCTCTCTCTCTCTCTCTCTCTCTCTCTCTCTCTCTCTCNCTCTCTCTCTCTCTCTCTCTCTCTCTCTCTCTCTCTCTCTCTCTCTCTCTCTCTCTCTCTCTCTGTGTGTGTGTGTGTGTGTGTGTGTGTGTCTCACACACACAGTCATTTTTTGTGGCAGCACCACAAAAACCACATGTTTAAATCCGAATTTCTGGCGCGAGGGCATGATGGAAAGATGTATGCCACTCATGAGGGCATATCGCACAGGGACCGGTGAAATGAGGCTGGCCGTCCAGTAAGGGCACCGCGGAAAGTCGCGACTCTTGCTGACAGGGGCATGCAGGAAAGTATGGAGACCCCAGGGGCAGGACAGGGTAAGTGGGCCGTCGCAGCGGCGCGACGCAATTTTCCCAAAAAAAAAACCTGGGCTTAAAAAAAATTAAAAAAATTGAGTTCATTGAAAAAAAAAGAAGGGGGGGAAGCTCAGGGAGAAGGGGGAAACAAAATAAAAGTTATCATCGAACTAGACCCATATAATTCACAACAATTGTCATTCTTCTAGTCCCATTTGGACTCAAACGCAGGTCTATATTTCAACAGGTCTGGGTGCACCAACTGAGCTACCGGTAGGACCGTTGGTGCACCCGTAAAGGTATGTGAGAGGGACCCACCAAAAGGGGAAAAGAGAAAACAAAGAGCGGCCCATTCCGGCAGGCGCGAAAAAAAAAAAAAAGGCGGGTGGAGATCGTCGGCGGGACATCCGTTAAAATTTGAAAAATACAAACCCCGCGCAGGGACGTCCCGCTCAAATCGAGAAGAAGACGGCGGGCGGTCGCGAAAGACGCCCTCCCTGCACGATGCTGCCGTTTGCGGGCGGGATAGACTGATCTTGGAGGTAACGCGGGTGGTTCCTGTGCTCAATGCCGGAGCTCAACGAACGCGAAGTATAAAAACGGGGAAAGGAGGTAGAGTGAGCAGCCTCAATGACGGCGGGCGGTCGACGAACGAAGAGTCCTTTGTCCGGAATTGATGGACGCGTAGTTGGTATTCAACAGGGATCGCTAAGGGGCTCATGCACACGTCCTTTGGTCCTTTGTCCGCCTGGCGAAGCTGTGAAGTTAAACGTTTAGATGATACTCACACTGGTAGGGCATATGCACACGAGGACTTCTTCAACTTCTCTGTGGACGTGATTGCCGGCAGGTGCAGCCTGCCGAGACCGTTCAAGGCGGACGGATACATGTAGGAAACTCCCCGTGTGAGTATGGCCTTACTCTTTCCTGTTTGTATCGGAGTTCAGTGAGGCGAGATTTAGTCCAGGCAGTACACAGTCAAGTCTGTCAGTCTGAGTTACTGTATGTCCTTCCGCTTTCTGGTCTGTGACTTCAAGTTGTGTCCTGGCTCCACCATACCATGTTGTGGAACTGCCAGTGGGGTAATCAACCAGCGAAGTCGCTGTTATCGACTGTACGCGAGCTGCATGACGGGAAACTTTCCCGTGCGGTTCTGAGGGTCGTCTCGGTGGCCGTGCCGGCAATCACGTCCGATGTGTCATCTCGGTGGCCGCTTTTGCTAGTGTTCCTGCAGGAGGCCATGATATAGAGTCTGGGGATGCACCTGCCGGCAATCACGTCCACAGAGAAGTTGAAAAGCAGCTCTGTGTTTGGCGTATTGCGTCGGAGTGGAGTTGTCCGCTCTATGTTTTTCTAGCGTACTTACTGAGCTGGAGTGAGGGACAATGTCGGCGGGGTACCTCGTGATGTATAGTCGCCTTCATTAGTTTCCTTTGTGAATGCACCCTGGCAGCGTGATATGTAGGTTCCTTCGCGGGAACTAGGACGCAAGTACCTGTTGCAAATCCTCGTGAAGGGTGTGTTGTGAGGTTGCGGTTAATCCCCGATTCGATGTGCGGCGTGTGCTGTCCTCCCTCCGATTGGAAGAGGACCTGGTACACTCGTCGTCATCATTTGTCAGTTCGACGAGGTTTCGACCTTGAAGTCGTTGGAGGAACATGTGGAACTCGAAATGCGAGGTACGCAGCATAATGCGTCTCAAGTAGTCTAATATGTAGTCTTGTGCTGAAGATTGTAGTTTAACTTGAAGGGCCCAAACCCCTCTGCAAGACGGCACAAAGACGGCACAAAGGGGAAACCAACTCCTAGGACATCGTGTGCAGACATGCTTCTCCAAGTGATACGATTCTGAGAAGTTCAATTGGCTCACGGCACAAAGGTGAGGGGGTGGTGGTTTTCCCCCGTTCCTCCTTGGCACCCGTCTGAGCGAGAGCCCTTCTTGATCCCTTTTCTTACTCCATGTCCTGCTCTTTTTACTTTGTTCTCTCCTCACCTTTTCTGCTTGCCTGCATGTTAACCAGTATCGTCCTCCTCCTCCTCCTCCTCCTCCTCCTCCTCCTCCTCCTCCTTCTATTCCTCCCAGACCTCCTGCTAATAGTGCCCGCTCCGCTTTGCCCATCTCCTCCTGTTATTCGTATGTCTGCATATTACCAATACACTCCTCTTATGATCTATATCTGGGTATTGATATACTAACTTGCGGTCCTCTAAGGTTCTCTATGCTCCTTTAGGTGGTACTGATAGGCAGAGGGAGTACACTCGATAGATGGGTAGATCGCTGCAGCAAAGATCGTTTTGATATGAATCAGTGCCCAACTGTTGTGGGATGTGCTTTTCTGTCCTTTCCAGCTCTCTTCAGTTTCGGTCCTTCTTCTTGACCCTTCGTTAAACTTCTCTCTAAGGTTCTCAGAAGAGTGCGAAAGCCTCAGTTTTTTTTTTGATGACGTACAGTATTTTCTGCCTCTTGATGAGAAGGCGGCGTAACGGGCGTTTTGGACTGTTAACTGCTCGGGCACATTTTTGAGAGATGTCAGCGTTCTGCGGGTAGATTGATCTTCGGTCTCCATTCCCCCCTCGTCGCTGGTTTGGCAACCTGCCCGAGCTGGGGTGGTGGCATATCAAGAATGCCAGTACCTCGTTAACTGCTGACTATGTACAAAGATCTGTAGGAGCTTTCGCTGGTAGTATTTAATTCTTCAACGAGATAACTGGAGTATCATATAAAATTTGTCGGTGGCAAGCAAGCTCCTTGCCATGTCATCCTCAAGGAAGCAGCAGGCGTCTCACGAGGGCCTGCCAACCCAACAATCTCCTTCGTCGAAGAAATGGATGGCCAAGATGTCCTCCGCGCGGGCTTCTCTCAAACGTCTAACGATCGGCAACTTTCCGCAATGCATCTTCAAGCCGACACGTGTCCACTCAGTAGAGGCCGGCGATTGCCTAGAGCTCATCGCCTCCACGTACGGGACCACGGTCGAGTCTATCAAGAGGCTGAACAAAATTGAAGGTGACGTCATTGTCGAAGGCAGTGTTTTATATATCGACAAGCGCATTCCCATTCCGACACGTCGGGGGAAGAGAGAGATTGCAAGCCGTCCGATTCCGAGATTGAGAAAAGCGAACGCTCAGGAAAGGAACGCGACGATGATGGAAGACCTTGAAGCGGAAGCGGCGGCGAATTGCCATTCGCTGGACTCTAGCACAGCAGCTGCTTCAGGCAGCGGTGCATCTGCACTTGACCTCAGGTCGTCAAGATTAGGCGGAACGAGGAGACATCATCAAGGCTCAAGGCTGAGAACAGTAAGAGTTCGTTTCGGCGATACGCTGGCGGGCATAGCACAGGCGAACGGGCTCCAAGCGGAGGAACTGCAAAGGCTAAATAACTTGCGCGATGATTCTATTAACGAAGGCGATGTCCTGGCACTGGGTGAGAGTGGTTGTAGCGATGATCATGCTGGAGAGATTCGCCGAGGAGCGAGACGGACCTATCGACCTCTCTTCTCGCGACTAAGTGATGGTGGAGGAGGGGACACCGCCAATCAGCAGACGGGAACCGGAGGGCCAGAGGTAACCCAGCTTCCGTACCGAGGCGTAATAAGGAAGAGTATCAGTCACCGAAGAAAGTCTCAGGCATCGTCAGAGTGTAGTAAGGTAAAGGTTGGAGGGAGGTGGAAGGCGGGGGGGACGAAAACCGTGCGGCGATCGCCGAGTGTCTCATCGTTGGTGTTTGGTCCGCCGGTCAGGCCCGCAGATGGATTCGTTAGCAGTCCGTTCGGATGGCGCTGGGGAGCTTTTCATGAGGGAGTTGATCTGGCCGCTGCGCAGGGGACACCCATTTTGGCTGCCAATCGTGGGGTCGTCACATTCGCAGGTTGGAGCGGAGGGTATGGGTACCTGTTGACTATCCAGCACAATGGGGGGTTCTCCACTCGGTATGGGCATTGCTGTGCTATTCACTCTCGTGTCGGGCAGAAAGTCGCCAGAGGGCAACAAGTTGCTGCAGTGGGATCAACGGGGCATTCCACGGGACCTCATTTGCACTTCGAAGTCAGAAGAAACGACGAGGCACTGGATCCGTTGGATTGGGTTGGCCTCTGATGTATGTGGTTAGGTTCTCCATCCCCCCCCYCCCCCCCCTCCTCCTCCTCACAGGCCCCCTCCAAAAAATACAACTGATTCCAAAATGTCTCGTCCTTCTTCGCTTTCTAAGTTATACTATTAGCTTTGTTTGAATTTTATTTATTGATTCTGCTAGATCCGTTGGGTTGGGTCAGCCTATGGTGGATGCGGATAAGTTATATGCTTCGTTTTGCTTAATATTGATTCTGCTATTGAAGCCGAATTACTGATTTGGAGGCCGGCAAGTGGGCTGCTGTGGGATCAATGGGGCATCCCACGTAACGTCATTTGGGATATGAAGTCGGAAGGACGTCCAGGTAGATCCGGTGGGTTGGGTCAGCCTCTGATGGATGGGATGAACTTATGATGTAATATGTCTATTTATTCTCGGTTGTGATGCCCAATTCCTGATATTGAGGCCAGTTGAGTTGCTGCTGTGGGATCAGTGGGTCAATCCAAGGGACCTCATTTGTCCTGTGAAGTCAGGAGGAACGGCGAGGCTCTAGATCCGTTGGCTTGGTTCAGCGTGTAATGGAAGCGATTGAATTGTGATCAGTTCTGTTTATTTATTCAGGCTTTGGTGACGAAGTACCGATTCTGAGGCCAACAGATCGCTGGTTTGGGATCAACGGGGCATTCCGCAGGGCCTCATTTGTACTTTGAAGTCGAGGCGCCGGATCCGTTGGATTGCGGCACAATTATCAATTCTGTAATTCCTGTTCATTTTGTTCAGTAATTTCGGTTATTGATGTTGAGTTGTTGGTCTCAAGTGTGTGGCCAGCACGTTTTATGCTGTGGGATCAACCAGGTTTTTCTTCTTTTTCTTTTTTTGTCTTTCGAAGGACGACGGCCTTGAGACATCATCGCAGAGCTGACCGCCCCTATGTTTCAACAGTTCAGGGGTGTACCAACTGGGCTAAGCCCGTTCGTACTCAACGAGGCATTTCACGGGGCCTAAATTGTGTTTTGAAGTCAAGAGAAACAGAGGTGCTAGAGCCGCTCGATTGGGTCAGGCTCTGACGGCTGAGATTAAACGATGGTCAAGATGCTGATGATGTCGACATTTTTTTTTTGTTTTGGCGCCAACAAGTTGAACTTCCTGCTCTGGGATCAACGACTTTTTTTTGTTTTAGCTCCTTCAGTTGCACGGGACCTCATTTGTATTTTGCAGTGAAGATAATCGGCGACGCGTTAGATACGTTGGACTGGGTGAGCCTCTGATGGATGCAGTGAAGATAATCGGCGACGAGTTATGATCAATTGTGTTTATTTATTCGGGCTTTTGATGTTGAATTATTTATGTTGAAGCCAACAAGTTTGTTGCTGCGGGGCTCAGCAGCGCGCAGCAGCGAGGCATTCCCCCGGTACCTCAGTTGTATTTTGAAGTCAGGAGAAGCGGGCAGGCGCTAGATCCATTTGACTGGGGGGTCAGCCTCTGATGGGTGCGATGAAATTATTACCTATCATGACGAAATCCTCAGCTTCCTCCAAGCTGAGGATTCGATGCCGAACTATTCAAGGGGCTTTTCTGTAGGACCTCGTTTGCATTTAGACGTCAGGAGAAGCGGAGAAGCGCTAGATCCATTTGATTGGGTCAGCCTCTGATGGGTGCGATTAAATTATTATCAATAATTTTATTTTATATTTATTCAGGTTTTGATGCCGATGTATCGATTTTCAAAACCCTCATGTTGCGGCTATGTGAACAACGGGGCATTTCTTGAGGATCTCATTTGTATTTTGCAGTAGGGAGAAAACGGCCAGGCGCTAGTTCCACTTGATTGGGTCGGCCTCTGATGGCTGCGATTAAATTTACTCAGGATTTGATGCCGAATTCTTTATTGATCCTGAAGCCAACATTTTGCTGCTGTGGGATCAACGGGCCATTCCTCAGGACCTTATTCAAGTTATTATTTGTATTTTGAATTCAGGAGAAACGCCCAGCCGTCAGCTAGATCCGTTGGATTTGGTCAGCTGCATCAATTCCGTTTACTCATCCAGTTACTTATGCTGGCTTATTGATTTTTCTTCGAATGATCGTTAATCGAGTATTTACCTAGGCTACCAGCCGGGCCGCCCGGGCCACCCTATTTTCCCGGACGGCCCGGCCGTACAAGAACAAGGGAGGGTCCCAGCCCCCCAAAAAAAATCTCCAAAAAATATGGAAAAAAAACTATGTTATGCAGAAAAATAAACTGAACCACTTTCGCCTCAGGGCCACATCGAAATTTTTTACCAAATTTAAAATAAAATTTTAAAGCAAAAAATAGTTTTTCTTTCTTTTTTGCCCTGCCGGGCAGGTGGACCCGGGCCACTCTATTTATTTTACTATTTATTTTACTATTTACTTTACTATTTATTTTACTATTTACTTTACTATTTATTTTACTATTTATTTCGCTTTGCCACTCCACTGATCGTCACGCTTGAATGATTGATCCCACTTCTGTCAAAAAGGGAGGCTGTATGTACTCTGCACGGCACTGGCCTATCTTCATGATGATGGATTGGTTGATTGATTAGTTGATTAATTGACCAATATATTGATTGATTGAATGATTAATTGATCGATCGATCAATCGATTGATTGATTGATTGATTGATTGATTGATTGATTGGTTGATTGATTGATTGATTGGTTGATTGATTGATTGATTGATTGATTGATTGATTGATTGATTGATTGATGACTTTATGGATTATAGATTCATTGATTGAGCCTGTCGGACGTGTTGATATCCTGATAATGACTGAGTATCGAATCACCGATTCCGTACCTGAAGCTGCATTTCAACTTGGTAGTACATTGGCCCAGCTTGAAAAAGTTGGGCATGGGCAAAACATCCACGGCGGCCATAGGTTTCTAGACTTCAGTTTTCGGAACGAATTTCGGACATAAGCACATGTTCCTACAAATTGACTGTTTTGTCCAGCGGCCATATTGCGCTCTGCGTGCCACTGGTTGCTTCCCTAATACAGTTCGTATGGCGCACTGCATGACGCCGATGATGACGGCTTTGGTTATTGTCCGCGGCAATCATTATGATGAAATCTACAGATCGTGGGAAAAAGCCCACTCTTTGGGCCTCGCTGCACTACTCTGGAAATGTGCAAAACGAGAGTGAATCTTCCGCTAGAATATGGAAATATACACCGGCAGTATTTTTGTCTTTTGTGCATGTCGAGAGTAGTGCAGCGAGGCCCTTTTACTCTCGGTTGCATTTTTTAATAACCAGTATTATCGTCGTCGCGAGTCCGTGTATTTCTACCTACCGTTGTCATAGTCCAATTGGTCATGTGTTAACGTAAGATTTGTGCGTCTGCTTTCACGCTCGTTTGAAGGGCTTTGTGAACAATGTGCAGGCAGGCAGGGTCACCAGCCCGTACGTACGGAGCTCCCCGGGCCGACCTCGGTACGCACGGGCGTGCGTTCTCCCCCCGCCAAAAATGATTTCGGGACCTAAAAATAAGTTCTCTATAATAAGTTCTCTATAATGTAAGATTTTTTCTGAATTATTTTCTGTGAGTTCTCTATAATGTAAGGTACATGCCTATAAATTTTGAAGTCATTTGGCTGAGCCAAACAAAAACTAAAAATCGCCAAAGATGGCGGTGTCAAAACGTGCTCTCTCACTCACTATTTTGTTTTTGTTTTTCCTTTTTACTTTTTGTTTTCACTTGATTGCGGGGCCTAAACAATTTTATTATTTTTTGAAACGTTTTTGATGCGTTTCGTATTATGTGAGGTACACATCTGCAAATTTTCAGGGCATTTGGATCTGCCCAAAAAAAATGAAAAATCGCCAAAGATGGCCGTGTCGAAAACGTGCTCGCTCACTCGCTAATTTTATTTCTCTTTTTATTTTATCTTATTTTTATATTAGTTCTATTTTTTGTATTTTATTTTTATTTCAAAATTGGTAAGGAATTTGGATGTAATGCTCAGGCAAATGTTGTTTATTTTATTTTTCCCCATAACATATCTTGATTTTAGATTTTTTTGAATTGCGTTTTTATTTTTTTGGGTCCGCGTTCGGCCCGAACGGCCGAACGCATCCCCAAGGGGTCCTGCACGTTCGGGCGTTCCGGACGGGCCGGAACGCCGGTTACCCTGCAGGCAGGTAAATAAAAGTGAGCATTTTTCGGGCCAGATCCCACTAGCCCCTATTGTTCATTTCTGACCGTTGATCTTCGTAATCGAGGGTTAAGAATGAATAATCCAGGGTAGTGGGATCTGACCCTTCATCAAATTGACAAATTGAGCATTTCCAGCTGTTGTGAAATACAGCGTGTCCCCCCACTCCCCCCCCCCCCCCCCCACCCGCCCAGCCTGCCAAAAAGAACAAAAGAAATCTTTCATTACCCTCATTCAGCAGTGAGGAAAGGGCTTTGAAATTGAGTGCGCATCCAGCTCATCGAGCGTAAATATCTATGCAGCTCATCGAGAGTGAGGAAAGACCTTTATATTCTAGCGGAAGATTCATTCTCAATTTGCACATCTCTGGTGAGTATTGGAGAGATGCCTAAACTAGTGTGGAGTTAAAAATAAAAATAAAAAGATTAGTGCGGAGTTGTCACATTGTCAGAAACCCAAAAAATTAATGTGCAAAAAAATAAATAAATAAAATAATAATAATAATAATAATGTGCTCAACGAGCGTAGCTCAGTCGGGGGTACACACACGCACACACGCACGAAGTGAAATACAGACCCACGTTCGAGTCCAGCCACACAATCAGATGACCAGAACAAAAAAGATTCTGAATTATCTGGAGCCAAGTCCCACTCACGCGTATGCTTCATATCTGACCATGGATCTCTGCAATCTATAGCCAGAAATGAAGGATACGGGTAAGTGGGACTTGGCCCCTGGGGTCGGGCAGTTCAACGAGGATTTTCAGATACCTGAAGGCCGTCGCCCTTTCCAAAAAAAAAGGAAAAAGGAAAAAGAAAAAAGAAAAAAGAAAAAAAGAAACCCAAAATGTGCATTTGCAGGTGACGTTGCCTTTGAGAACGAAAACGTTTTTGACAATGAGAATTGTTTACTAGTCTTTTGACGAAATGCCCGACTGTCTCGGCGTCTGAAATGTGCATTTGCAGCTGACGTTGCTTTTGAGGACGAAAAAGTATGCTTTTGACATGCGAATTGTTCACTTAGTCTTTTGACGAAATGCCCGACTGTCTCAACGCTTTTTTTTTTTAACAAGCAAATGTCCCATTCAATTC